CATACATTAAACATACATTAAAAACCCTAACCTTAAGAACAGAATTAAAAGATAAAATATAAAATATGATATATATAATATATAAAATTAACAGTAGCTACAGTAAACAGTGCAAACAGTACCTAGTACACCTAAATGTTACACACTGGAACTTTAATTGATTTCAGAATGGTTTTTGAGCTACAATCCCTTAAGACCTGTTATGGATACATAATATATTGTCCAACAATGTTTTTCAGTTAAAGTTATTTTAAAAAATCTTCACAGAAAGGGTAAAGTCGCTCCCCTTCCAGTGGAGCATAATGGGACCTGATTTCGAAGAAAATAAATAGTTTGGTCCCGTTTGAATTACAAATAGGATGTCTGTCAATTTAATTTAGTTTTGCAAGTCAAGAAAGTTAAGGATCCAAAAATATTTGCTTCTACCGTACATATTTCTTCCTCAATAAGGTCCCACAGGGGACAGCAGAAGGGGAGTGACTTTGCCTCTTTATATATTTACACCATTCACAGGCGAAACACACCGCTAACTTAAATAAAATTACAGATTCCTCTGTGTTTGAACGTTGTTGGAAACATTTGGTATAATGCAGAATAACACAACAAAATATATAACACAGGTCTACGTTGTTTTTACACATTTTAATGGTGAAATATTACATATTAACCCTTTAAACTAGTCATATCTAGTAGACTTATGCAACCAGGGGTCAAGTAGACACAGCTCTGTTTTGTAGTGTCCTAAGTAAAAAACGTTGGGAATCACTGAACTAGAAGATACTGCATGTGGTAATAATAATTTATTTTTAAATAAATAAATCATATTCTCGTTCTGCATTCTGGGTCACATCCAAAAGCCCTTGACACAAGACCTTGTTGTTGAGTTTGTAACCCCCATTAAGCTGTTTGCAGTCATTCTGACACCCACTGCTGACTTATTTAGCAGCTCCGGCAATGCACATTAACCCATGCAGCTAACGTCTAAGTGCCTCTCTGGCTCTCGCTCCTGGAAAAAAAGGCCTTCCAGCATCAGCTCCACAGCATCGCTGCTGCAGCAAAATAACTCTGGGGGTTGTTGGGAGGGTGGTGGGATTTAGCTATAATGTGTTTTCATGGTCCGCTAATGAGTAGATGATGTTATATGAATGTGGAACCAATGAAACACACCAAATTACATTAGGTCCTTCACATGTGTGCAAGAATAAATGCACTTCAAATTTGGTATTTATGAATGGAACGTGGTTTAGAGTGACTCATTAGCACGTTACCATCACTTAGCACGTCACTCTTTAAGTACACTGTAGTAATAAACAGACTCTGTGGAGCAGCAAGACATTAGGTGTTTTGACCTTGGCTCCATTGTGTGTTAATCGTGTTAGGGTAAGCCTAATTACTTAAGGAGTCACAGACTTTACAGCACAGAGCCGAGCTCCTTATCCACTCCAAGGCTCTTCAGAAAGGCTGCAGTATGTTGTTCCTGTCAGTGATTCCTGTGGGGGGGGGAAAGTGACAGGATCCCATAAAGATTGGGCCGGGTGAGTGCTCGGTCAGAGCTGGAACAGCTAGAACAGAAACAAAGGAAAGTACTCTTCAGGAAGCCTGGTTCTACTGCGTCAGCTTGACTAGTATCAAATATTCAGATGCCCAAAAGCACTCCAAATCCTTGCCACCTGGTGTAAGGACGGCAAAGTTCAACGGATGGTGAAACAAAGGGTCATGTAGGGTTGTAGTGTTGACTGCTGACAGTGAAATTTACATCATCACAGCAGCAGAGCAGCTGACCTCTTCAGAAAAATAAATTCTCTGGCTGAAGCTGCATCAACAAAAGAACAATGTAGCCTCTTCATCCAGATCTCGTCCGTTTAGCAATAAAAAAAAACGTCCCCAAAGAAAAAATAAATCACTTTAAAAGGTCCAGTGTGTAACTTTTAGGAGGAACTATTGGTAGAAACAGAATATAATAATCATCTGACTATAGGAATCATGTTTCCTTTACCTTAGAATGAGCCATTTCTATCTACAGAGGGAGTGGGTCCTCTTCTATGGAGTATGCTATGTTTCTACAATAGCCCAGAATGGACAAACCAAACACTGGCTCTAGTTTTTCACTGCCACTGCAGTTTCTTCTTTGAGTCAAAAGGGTCTCAGTTGGTCGCAATCTGCAATCTCACCACTAGATGCCACTAATCCTACACACTGGTCCTTTACCTGGAGGCGTGCTGGTTGATCAGCCACTTTTTCATATTTTGGGGTGCAATGAACATGTTGTTGGATGCTAGAAGAACCTTAAAACATTGTTAAAAGTTCATTCTAGAGCTCGGAAAGCTGTTCTGGAGCTTTCGATCGTATCACACAGTCTTCATCAGTGGATCAGGTTTGGACTTAAGGAGTCCTCTTTATGTCGACCCAAAAAAAGTCAGATTCAAAGTTCATTCTCGACCTCGGAAACAAGACGAGAAATCTACGATGCTGTGACAGTTGAGCAACTCTCTGCTGAGGAAGACACAGTCGGAAACTCCAGAACAGCTACTAAAGGACCCTGTGGTGAGATTGCTTTTGCTCCAGGTGAGTCCCAAAACCAAGCCGCCCGGGTACTGACCTGTATGAGCGCGGACGAGGCCGGAGTGGGAGACGGCGCCACGACAAACCTCAGCTGGTCCGGCTTCTCTGGGTCGATGTCCACCATGACCTCCCTCCACCCTTTCTCCGTCCTCTACCCAAAACAAACAAACATAAAGGTATACAGGCCGCTGTGTACAAAACACAGAGCAGAGAGAGCGGTTTCTTTGTATGAGAGCCGCTGAAGGTTGCACCAAAGACTCCAAAACACCACAAAGACACATGTGTGAGAGATATGAGAGCAGCTACCAGGACATCTGTTCTGTCTGAAGGGTTTTTTCTTTACATACAAATAAGTTTAAAAAAGGCAGAAAAAGAACATTTCTTTAAAGCTGCCAGTTTCTTACAGGTTTTAAAAGTCAAACTTAATTCAACGTGTGACAAACAAACTATAAAAAGAGCAATAAAATCCTTTTTTTTTTTTTTTCATCCTATCACACAAGAAAATCATATGGAGACACAAAATTATTATTTTTTCTTTCTTTAAGTGGTCCTTTTAGACACAATTCAGTGTGGAAATAGATTTAATAAAAACCCCACTGTTTAGAAATTCACACTGAAACTACAAATGCAGCTACAGCCTGCTGATACTGTAAATCATTCTAATATTTCTCTATATATTGTTACACGACGGGTTGGACTTGACACCATCTGGTGGTAGTATAATACAATAACACTGAGGTACAACAACACAGAGAGGCTGAGATAATTGGGCTGAAAGCTGAACACAATGTTTACCAGAACATTTTTAATTTTTCTACAAACAAATATTAATATGAGAGATATGATCACACAAGGTTTATACACCCAGTGGCTTTAAACTAACCTGAAATTTGTGGATCGGCAGAGCGTCAAAGAACTCGTGAGCGAAAAAGATGCTGAATCCTGTGAGAAGAAGAGAGAAACTGACTGTCAGATAATTCACCCAATGACTAAGACAAATACTGAAAAAAAACAGGAGCCCAGGTCCCATGCACCCACTGGTGCTCTCTGTGGGTAAAATTAGTCATTTTAAAAATAAAAAAATATGTCAGGACACCCCATGAAGAGCAAGAGTGTCGATATGTGTTGGTGTAGTTTTATAACGTTCTATTAAAAGGATTTAATAGAATTGATTTAGCATTAAAAAAGTCTGGAAATTGATGCAGCAGAACCAGAGATAGTGTCTATTTTATTCCACACATTCTTCTTCCTTGCCAAAACCTGCCGCATACATTACCCACAATGCAATTCGACTGCTGACAGCTCTGTCAGGAGATTCGGGTGTGTCCCAAGCTTGACAAATAAAATCCACACTTTCTGCAGTCTCTGCTTCGGTGTACCTGTGGGGACGTCGGCTAAGCGGCGGTACCAGGACACCGGCAGCCCGGCAGCAGTTTCACCGCGGCGGTAAACCGGCTCATCCTCGGCGTCTGCCTCCTGGCTGCAGTTCCCGGTCAGAATCTGGGCCTGGAGACGACTCAGAGTCGGACTCACCTCGACCAAGTGGAGAGACACTGAGGCCTCGCCGAGTACGGACCGCAACTGACTGAACACCTGGACAGAAAAAAATTACTGAAATACAGCTGCATCGATTAATCGGTTAATCAATGCGCAAACTATTTTGATAATCAATTAACCATTTTGAGCCATTTTTAAGAAAACAAGTGCAAATTTTCTGATTCCAGCTTCTCAAATTTGAATATTTATTGGTTTCTTTAGTCCTCTATGACAGTGACTTTTGGTTGTAGAGGAAAAAAGACATTTGAGAAGGTCACCTTGGTCTTTGGGAAACAGTGAACGACATTTTTCACCGTTTTCTGGACCAAAAAAAACAAACTGATAAATCGAGAAAATGATTGTTCGTTGCAGCCCTAATGCACTTATTAACTTTTCTTTTAGAGTTAGATGAGAAGATCGACACTACCCTCATGTTTGTATAGTAAATGTGAAGCTACAGCCAGAGATATGCTATGTGCTACGCTCATTAAGGACTGGACTCAAGGTAGTCAGCTGCATGAAAACAACCTCAAACTTCTAAAAGGGACCCATTTCTAAAACCTCCTGACTTTCCAGCTGTGTAACAGATCTAATGATATTCCCTGATCAGCATGAAGTCCTGCTGCTGTACTAAATAAAGTTCGTACCCTGAGGACGTCGCTGGCCAACGATCCCTTTCCAGGTCCGAGCTCGACCAGCTTCAGCTGTTTGGGTTGACCTGCTCCGATCCACTCGCTGATGATCCACACACCGATCAGCTGGAACAGGAAACACATTCAAACACTTAAAACAAAACAACAAACTTTACCTAACTGAGAAGAAATATGCTGTTTTCAAACTTTGTTATTCGGCTCTCCTGCTGAAAGATGTAAAATGACTCAATTTACATCTTTTAGCAGGAAAGCCGAAAGCCTGATTTTCAGGATGCAGTTTGACAAACAGAATTACGTCTGAAACAGTTGTATGATTAACCAATTTGTCAGTTTGCAGGAAAAATCCCCAACTGAGAGTGTGACGTTCAATCGATCAGCTTAAGGAGTGTTTTTTTATTAATGATCAAGCAAAGAAATAGATCTGATGCTGGAATTTATGTTGCCCAAGTTTTGAAGAAAATCCAGGATTTCCATGTGTTTGAGGGAATCTTTTAACTGAAGCTGAAACAGCTGATATTTAACAACCATTAACAGTAACTAACAGTAATGTAGCTGAAACTGAAGTCGCTGTAGATGAGGTGGGGGGTCGGGTGGATACATAATGTAAAAAAAAAGCATTTAATCTCAAATGAACTCCTGTAATAAACTGAGAAAGAGGACACACTCATCAGATCAAACTGTGCATCCGAGTGTGTGGAACTGAACTCACCTCTCCAAATATCTGACTGATTTCTGGTGATGTGATAAAATCTCCTTCAGGTCCCAGCATGTTGTTCCTCACATAATAACCCTGGAAGAGAAAACTAATCAGTGTGGATGAAGGACGATGAGACAGTTAGATTATGTTAGATAAGTCATTTTACACAAATCAAATCATCATCAACCAGACCGAGATCAATTATTGGCTTTTGAAACGCTTGTTTTTAATCAGAAAACAATAGTCAATAGTTTAATCAACATTGTCATCAGGATGCTATGTGGCTATGTGATTTGTATGGTGATTGTTGCTATGTGGTTAACGGGTGGTTGCTAGGGATGGAAATTATTATTATTACTTTTCAAAATAAAAGTAACAAACGTGCTTCACAATAAAAGTAACTAAATATCAGGCTGAGGATAGTAGTGACCCTGAACTGGCACTAAGGAGAAAGACTGGCTGTCTCTGTCGCCTCCCAGTGGCCAAACACAACAATGACCGAGGGGGGGAAACTGATTTATACTTACATTTGTATTTCATTATTATTGCAAAATAAAAGTAAGAACATCAATTCATTTAAATGCAGGTCAAAGAATTCTTAACATTTTAACTTTAGAAGATCTTTAACTGATTCAGGACCTGCAGATTCTCATTATATATACTGTCAATGGTTGTGACAGAGTTCACTGATGATCACTTACTGTCACAGGGTTGGTGAGCACCTCTCTCATGTACTCTGCCACTGTAATCGGACCTGTGGCTTTTATTTTGGAGGTCAGGTGTCTCAGCATGGAGGGCCTGGGCTTTTCCTCTTCTGTTGTTCTGCAGAAGAGTCTGGTCTGAGCTGCTCGCCATCGCACTGTTAAACACAATGAAAACACTTTTCTTGAATGAGATGCTCAGTAGTTTACAGACACTGATCACTCTAATAACAAAGGAAACTTATTTATTCACACATTAGGAGTGTGATCTGTCCAGATAGTTTAAAAACTGACTTTGTAAAGTTGTGTGGTGTTTCTTTTTAAGAGTTATGCTCCTAGCACAATGGATTTTAAATACATTTCCAGAATTTGACTCACTCATAGAGTTAAAATCAGTTTACAGTTCAGAAACTAAAAATAAAAACTAGTAAACAAAAACAATAAATGGATTACAATTACACAACTCAATAATAAGGCATGCACCTAGGAAAACAAACCACCAAACTAGGGAACATAATGTGAAATATAAACCATAAATGATGCCACAGAATAGATCCTATAGCCCAGAAAACATGCAGACATCTGATGACATTTAGGTTTTCACAGCATGAACAGTGTCACATAACATCAGGGATGTTTCTGCAGTTTAAGTTGAATATTCTTACAGTTTCAGCATAACTTTAGGGAGCTGTTTGCACGTGAATATAAACCAAACAGTGTGTTTAGAAGTAGATGCATCAGATCTGCTCTCACCTGCTGCTGATGGACTGACAGGATGAATGGAGACTCTGTTGATGAGCTGCTGTGCTCCCAAACAAACCCTCATCCTGAACCTAAAACACAACTATACACGTGGTTCTAATGGTTGCTGTGGTAACATTATTTTAAATAAGTCTAATATATATAATATCTAATATGTTATGTGTGTCTGTGGATCGTTTAAAGCAGATAAAAGTTGCAGAGTCCTTGTGCAGCAGCGCAATGCTAATGCTAAGTGATAAACGTTGAGTAATGACAAATACAACATCCGGCTAAAGTTTCACAATAAAACTAGGTTTTGTTGGATTTGTTGTGCCGAATTAAAAAAAAAACAATAGTTTTAAATAAAATTAAAGTTTTTAGAATTAATTTAAAATAAATTTAAATCTGAACTTTTTCTCTTGAATCAAATTTTAACTATTTATTAACTGAATACATAATAGTATTATAATAAATTTGAGGATATTCATTTTAAGGCTATCATGTAATATGTGTGGAATTTTAAAATTTAATTACAGTATAAATTAACTTTATAGCCACCCTCTGCCTTGAACACTTAAATTAAACAAAGTTTATGTCTTTTTTTCACATTTCAGCTTCAAGACAATCGACGCTGTCTCCCTTTCACTAGACTCTACTGTATTATTTTGAAAAGCCACGTTCGGAAGCGACGTCGCCTTCCACATCCGGGTCACCGCGTCCTCATGCTGTAAGCAAGCATGGCTGCGAAAAACAAGCACCGTAAAAAGCCCAGAGCGAGCAGTAAAGAGACATTTCAGCCCCAAGAAGACGACATGGAGGCTGACAACGGCGGCGGGGAGGAAGACGGTGATTCAGCCGCCGATGAAGGTGAAGACCGAGCGAAGAAAGAGGAAGAAGAGTTCAGCCTGGATGAGGTTTTGAGGCTGGGAGGAACACAGGTGAGTTTATAAAAGCTCAAAGTTGATTAATTACACCTATTTACACTCGTGTTTCTTGCAATTTAAATATCTGATAAACATGAAGTAACGTCAGTGTCAACGAGCTTCAGTTTTACTGTGTTTGAAAGGTTAACTTGGTTTAATACCCTTTATAACCACAATATAACCAGGACTGCAACTAGGGACTGTATCTATTGATTAATCTGCTTATCAATTAATATTGTAGTCAGTAAAATGACAGAAAGTCCAGCCCAGAACAAGTTCCCAGAGCCCAGTGATCATTTATATTAATATAAAACATTATTTGAGAACCAGAGTTGCTTGATATTGTTTGTTGATGATTATTTCATTTCCAGAATACCAGTTCTCTATCAATGGATTTATCGATTAACACTAATCTTTAAAATTATATTATAAATTATAAAATGCCAAAGTGACATTTTAAAATGTCTCGTTTTGTCCGACCAACAGTACAAAACCCAAAAGATACAATTGAAAACTCAGATCAATCCAAATAATTGCCATGTAACATTTCGTCTGTCGACTGACAGAAAGAGAACCTCAGTACTTTTTTGTTCTGATCTGTTTATAGCTCAGAGTATCGAACAAAACAGAAAGCTGGTAGTTGTAGAAAACTTTATTCAGAAAAGGTTATTTTTAGACTTCTTTTGTTCAGACATTTATCATTTAAGAACTGTGACTTCTTTTGTTTTGTTCCATTCGTCTAATGCAACCATAACTAAGTCATTACTGAAACATATAGTTTTCTTATGTGCTTCTTCTTGTCCCTCTGTAGGCCGATTACATCCTGCTTGCCGGCCTGAACGACTCCAACGAGCTCGTCGACGGAGGAAAGAAAGGAGCCATAGACGACCTGGAGGAGGGCGAGCTCGAGAAATTCATCACCAAACTGGGCATCAAGGCGTACGCCGGGCTGCAGGTCATCGCGGACGAGCCCGAGGGCGACGCTGCAGGCGCCAGCGAGAAGGAAAGTAAAAAAGCCAAAGCCAAGAAAGCTTCAGCAGAGGAACAAGCGTCCAACTCTCAGCAGCAAGTAATCAACAACCAGACGGCGGCGGACAAACAGACGGCGAAGAAGAAGAAAGATGCTCAGACGACCGCCGGGAAAAAGGCCAAACAGAACATAAATGTGTTTGAGTTTCAGCAGAGGCAGGTCCTGCTGATCAAACCTGGAGGGAAGTGGTTCGACCTGGACTACACCGCCGAGGGCTCGTCGGCCGAGCAGGATCCCTCACTGGTGTCCCAGTACAAGGCGCTCGCTCAGCAGCTCTTCGAGGCCGAGGTGGCGCTCTACAAGAGCAAGAAGAACCTGCAGAAAGGAGCCAACTCCAACTGGATGAAGTCGGTCGTCTCCTCCGGCGTGTTGGCGGACAGGATGGCAGCAATGACGGTTCTGATCCAGGACGCTCCGGTGCACACGCTGGAGCACGTTGAGAACTTGGTGTCCATGGTGAAGAAGAAGGGCAGCCGGCGGATGGGTCTCATGGCTCTGGACACACTGCGAGAGCTACTGCTGTCCGACCTTCTCCCGGAGCACAGGAAGCTGCGCCACTTCGCCCAGCACCCGTTCGACCAGCTGGAGGAGAAGGCCAGCGGCAACCGCGACGCCCGCGACCGCCGCCTCATCCTCTGGTACTTTGAGCACCAGCTGAAGCACAATGTGGCCGAGTTTGTGATGGCTCTGGACACAGTGGCTCACGACACGGTGGCGGCCACCAAGGCGAAGGCGCTGGCTACCGCCCACGAGATGCTGTGCAACCGTCCGGAGCAGGAGAGGGCGCTGCTGATCCAGGTCGTCAACAAGCTCGGAGACCCCGAGTACAAGACGGCGGCCAAAGCGTCGCACCTGCTGGAGACGCTGCTTCACCAACGCTCCAACATGAAGGCGGTGGTGTGCTGCGAGGTGGAGCGGCTCATGTTCCGGCCCAACATCAGCCCGAAGGCGCAGTACTACGCCGTGTGCTTCCTCAGCCAGGTGATGCTGAGCCACGACGAGGCCGAGCTCGCCGCCAAACTCATCACCATCTACTTCTCGTTCTTCCGCGCCTGCGTCAAGAAGAAGGACATCGAGTCGAAGATGCTGAGCGCGCTGCTGTCGGGCGTGAACAGGGCGTATCCCTACGCCGGCACTGGGGACGAGAAGGTGAAGGAGCAGCTGGACACGCTGTTCAAAGTGGTTCACGTGGTGAAGTTCAACACGGCCGTGCAGGCGCTCATGCTGCTCTTCCAGGTGATGGACTCCCAGCAGACCATCTCTGACCGGTACTACGTCGCTCTGTACAGGTAAAAACATCCTCACCTGTCAGCTCGTCCCAGTCTTCATCTCACCAGAATCTACGTTTGCATTTTCACGTTAAAGCTCCAGATCCCAAATGGAATGTAATATTCACAGGTAATTTAAATGTTGACTTATCTTCTTCTCCTCTGCAGGAAGTTGCTGGACCCCGGGCTGTCGTCGTCCTCCCGGCAGAGCATGTTCCTCAACCTGCTGTACAAGTCTCTGAAGGCCGACATCGTGCTGCGGCGGGTCAAGGCCTTCGTGAAGCGGCTGCTGCAGGTCAGCGCCGAGCAGAACGCCAGCTTCGCCTGCGGAGCGCTCTTCCTGGTGTCGGAGGTCATGAAGGCCAAACCGGGCCTCAGGATGCTGCTGCAGGAGGGCGGGGTAAGAAGGTCACACCGTACCGGCGCCAGTAACTCATCAGAGCGTTCATTCGAGACGTTAGTGTTGGAACTGAGAGCTTGAACTCTGTTTTTAGCTTTTCTGCTGTTGTGTCTTCCATCTGTCTTCTTTGTGTATTCAGGGCGGCGAGGAGGAGGAGTTCAAAGACCTCGCTGAGGAGAATGATGATGATGATGATGAAGAGGAGCGCTTTGTGGATGCCGACAAACTGGAGGAGGGAGCGAGTGCAGAGACAGAGGAGGCAAAGCCCGCAGCATCGTGGGTACATCACCAGAACCTGGAAGGTGTGTGAGCGGCTCTGAGAGTCATGATATTAGTTTTTTTGTTTTGTTGTTGTTTAAGTCACAGACAGTTATGTAATATAATAGATGTGAATCAAAATACAGGTTTTTAAAGGATTTTAAATGATGACAGTAGTGTTTTTAAAATGTAAAGTTAGGATTTTAATCTCTCCAAGAGCTAAAAAACGTTCTTAAAATGAATATTTCTTTCCGCTGTCGCATTGAGAGTCACAGCTTGGTTGTAGTTTTCCATTAACATTAACATTTTAAAGATACAGTACCAGCAGATACATTATATAACAATGTTCCATGTTGTTGTCATTCTTCTTGAATATTGATGTTTGTTTTCTCTTCTTGTTTTCTTCCAGGAGGGAAGAGCATGCAGAACTACGACCCGCTGCACAGAAACCCGTTATTCTGCGGCGCCGACCACACGACTTTATGGGAACTACAGAGGGTGAGAACCAAACAAACAAACAAACAAACAAACAAATCTTTTATCTCTTTTAATTTGCTGTAGTTTGATTATTGTACTGTTTTGGTATACAATATACACTCAGTGGCCAATAGCCAAAAGCCCTAATACAAGAGTCCTGTGATAAATCTTCATGAAGCTTATAATGTTCAGTTTGTGTTATAACATTTTAGAAGATGTATTTTGTGCGGCTGTGAACATTATTGGGTTACCATCACTGCTCTCTGATTTGAATAGTGCATAAACTCCTTTAATTGCATAAGAACATGTAAAAATGCAATAAAATATAAAGGCATATAGTTGAAACCCCTAATATGATAATATGGCCTTACTAAAAATAGAAAGAACAGGAAATGTTTTCTCTGACAATCATAAATAGTTTAGTTATCTGTCTGCAGGGATTAAACCATAAACGTTTCTGACCTCATCTGAACACTTTTTGAATGTTTCCTCTGTTTGTGTGTCTGCAGCTCTCCCTGCACTTCCACCCCTCAGTGTCCCTGTTTGCAAAAACTCTCCTGCAGGTAAAACTTTCCAGCAAACAGTTTCATTGCATGTTAACAAAGGTCTTCTGTGTCTGTGGAGCTGGTGGATGGATCTAGTTTCTCTTCACTTTCCTTCACACAGCTTTTGGGTGGATGTTTGTTTCCTCTGTAAACATGTTGTATGTTAATCAGAAGTGTTGTTTCCACAGGGAGGGTCCATCCAGTACTCAGGCGACCCTCTGCAGGACTTCACCCTCATCAGATTCTTGGATCGATTCGTCTTCAGAAATCCCAAACAGCTGAAGGGAAAACGTAATTAACACAGATAACATAACATACAAGGCAGATTAAAACACATTACAGCAGAAGAGACAGTATCTGACAGTGTATATTAATGTTCAGCTACAGAATAATAATTAATATCTGACAGAAATCTACAAATCCATTCATAAAACAAAAAAAACAACAACTGTAATTTCTGCTTTGATATCTTTCTTTTCTTAGAAAACACAGACACTGCAGCGCTGCAGCCCAAACAGAGGTCAACTGTCAACTCTTTATCAGGTGAGGTTCAACAAAAAAGTCACTCGTTCATCTTGGTTTTGATTTTTGTTTTGATTGAATATTTTACCGTTACATGAAAAGTCTCCATCTCGACTTTGTTTTTAAATTGTTATTTCAGTGAAGTGATCTTTTTTTCTGTCTCTGTCAGTGAACTGTGAGGAGTTTCTGGCTAAAGAAGAGAGTCAGATCCCTGTGGAAGAAATCTTCTTCTATCGGTGAGTTTAAAGCGAATCAATCAAGAGGAAAAAAAAAAAAAGATTTCTCAAATTATTTCTTTGTCTTAATACAAACACAACAAAACTAGTTTGTACCCATAGAGCGTGTACTGTAATCTCAATCTTAAATATGTTTCTTAACCCTTACTGTACAAATGGGTTTCATTGTCTCAGAACATTTGAATACGTTACAATAGGTTTTGAGTCAGTTTGTGATTTTTTTTTTTTTATTCTTTCGACAGTTTCTTCAAGAAGCGGCAGCAGGAGAAGAATCTTCGTCGGCCACGAGGAGACGGCGACAACGAGAGCGTGGAGGATGTGGACGATGACGAGTTTGAGAAAATACTCGGTGAGTCGACGGAACAGGTTCAACTTTCAGTTCATGTTTGCTGACTTTAGCTCCAGGAGTTTGGACTGCAGCAGCAAACATTAACAACATTGCAACAGTAACATGTAAAATGAACTACAAGTAATGAATAAGCAAACGTTAAACTAAAAGGTGGCATCATGTTTTAAAAGGTTTAATACTGTTGTACTTTTACTTTGAAATTCAAGGATACATTTGTTTTACTGACAGTATTTTAGTTTGTTTTCAGCAGAAAAAACAAACTTGTTGTGCTTGTGGTAAAGCTCTGTTATAAACCTCTCAGTTTTAATGAAATGTAACTCATCTGTAACTTTATAACTTGTTTTTTGAACAGATTCCTGTGAGGGAGACTCTTACTTCACTGATCTGCCAGTAGATGATCTGGACTTTGCAGGGTGAGCGGACCAGTTCTCATCTTTATTGTTGTTTGTTCTGTGAAAATCTGACTCAGACGTCCAACATTTGGTGAAAAATGAGTTCCTCAGCCTCCGAGAGAGAGTTTGCAGACCGTGTTTGTTTTACTGAGGTGCCGTGTGTTAATTGACTCCCTCCATGTTTGTCAGAAATGTGAAGAGTAAAAAAGGAAAGAAGAACGTGGAGGACTCCGACTCAGACATGGACGACTCAGACATGGACGACCTGGACGACGAGGAGGTGTCTCTGGGCAGCATGGACGAGGAGGACTTCGGTGATGAGCTGGAGGATGAAGGAGGGATGTTCATGGATGCTGACGATGAAGGTAGAGAACATCGAGTCCAAATGACGTCTTTTATCTTTGTCTTTCATGTTTTGTGTCAAGAGTTTGTGGAGTTCATTAGTATTTCTTAAAATTCTTTTAAAAATCCTGCAAATCTGAGATTGTATTTGTTAATATTCTTGTGTCATTAGCACTTGTTCGTCTACATGCTTTTGTGCAGGTTCAGTGTTTTTTGCTGTTGCAGGGCTTAAACCTGCGATCCTACAGTTACAGGACGCTTCTCTGACCTGGATACTAAATTAAATATCTTAATTTCTTAAAATGTATCTGCCTTTTTGTGTCTCTTCTTTCAGTTCCAGAGCTGGAGGATGACGACGTTGCATTTGGTGGTGAGTTCACAGACAGATCTTCATCACAGTTTCATCCCGTTACACAGATAGGATCATATACATA